TGTACATGTATGAAGAAATGACATTTCTGTGATAACTGAAACTATATCAATATACACTTTATGGATTTTTATTAGTTCACCAACTTTGTGTCTTCAGAAATGTTTAAATTTTATTTTTAAAATATTTGTTGCATGTGTTCTAATGATTAAAGCATGCTCAAATCCATTTTAGAGCACCTCTCAAAACAGTGATAGTATTAACAATATAGCTCACTCTTTTTGTGCTTTGATAGCGACAAAAAATACACAATTTGTCGTCTCATAATACAAGCTACTTTTATGATTATTTATACTCAATATTTTATTTCTGAATTTAAATGCAAGAGCTCACGGTTATATTTTCTCATATGGCTTTCTAGATAATATAAAGGCTTTAGTTAAAACTATAAGTTTGCTGAAGAAGGAAAATCCTTTAATCATTTTCATGAGAAAGATTAATATATTTAAAAGTATTATTACATAATGACTATTCTATCTCTTTAGTACTCTTGATATTCCATGATATAATGGCTAACAATCAGCACACTATTCAAAACATTTTACACAATCTTAATAATTTTTGTAAGGGCTAATTAAGTTTTATCTTTAATCTAAAATAAAATATTTAGAGCCTTAATTTAGATTGTTGTCATCAGAGTAATCACAATATCAAGGAATCCTTTTCTGGTTAGATAAAGATTCCTCGCAGAAAAGCAGATGGGAAGGATACATTTGACCATGTTGCTCTATTCCACTTAATCTTTTTCTTTAAAACAGCAGGTCTATATGTTTTCACATAATTTTATATATGTATAATTAAAATTAACCAGATATAATTTTAGTTAGTGCCATTTTCATGTAACTTTTAAAAATTTCAGTATTCCACTTTATTTTTTTCTTAAATCTTTATTGTTGAAAGTATTACATATGTCCCCTTTTTTCCCCCATTGACCTCTTCTAGCCTGCCCCAGTCTCCCACCCCAGGCCTTCACCACCCTATTGTCTGTGTCCATGGGTTATACATATATGCAAACAAGTTCTTTGGTTGATCTCTTCCCACCCACCCACCTTCCCTGCCTTCCCTCTGAGGTCCTAAAGACTGTTCATGCTTATATGTCTCTACA